TGCCTACCAGACCCTGCAGTGGGGCGGGCCGTCACTCATCTTGGACACATGCTCACAATTGATATCAAACTTGAAACAGTCTTTCAATGCCACCAAGGCTGAACCTAATTTTCAACTTTTCAGGTTTAATGGATTCCAAATTAACAATTTCTGGTACATGGAAATTTTATCTGTTTGGCATTCTTTTTCTTTCCTTCTAGTAACAAAATCCCTCCTTTTTTTTTTTCACAGGGAAACCCCTCTATGTGATGCTGGTGGAATCTGCCCTCTCATGGGACACAGGAACATGCCTGAATCAAAGAGATACTGGCCACACTGATTCAGACAGGCAACCATCAATCAAGATGACTCCTTGGTATTATTGTTATGACTATGGCAAAGAGTTGCTTTTCACTGGGGTTTAAAGCTGTGAGAATGGTGGCTGCTGCTGACAGGTACCTCTGCCACTGTGATGAGGGACAGCAAGTATGAGAACACAGCTGATGAAGTTAAACAGAAGAGCAGGGGAGAACAGAATGGCCCGATTATATCTCTTGAGCCACTGAATAGTTGTGCCTAAAGCCAGGGCAGCATGAACACACCAGTCACCTAAGTCAAAAAACAAGCTTAAGCTGGAGTTTATTGATTGCAACCAAAATAATTCAAACTAATAAACCTGATCTAAAGGAAAATAAAGTCCCGAAGGAAATTCCCCTTCATAGATAGTCCTTTTAGAATTCTGGACTTCTCTCTGAAAATAAACCTGACTTAATTAAAATTCCTTCTTCCTATGACATTAGTGCAAAAAGTCCAGGCTAACCACATACCACCCTCTGCACCAACGGTTCATCTTAACAGTGCTGCCTCCAAGCAGATGCCACCTTCTGCAATGTTTATGAAAGTCAGTCCTAGAGAAGAGACCTTGCAGTGGGCAATGGTAACACAGTTTATAGCTGGTTACCCTCAAAACACACTTGCCCTCAAGAGGTACTGAACACGTCAGTGTAAGAAATGGCCTAGAGTTGTGGGGTCCAAAACAAGGATATATGTGGTGCAAAGGAAGAAGGTTGTACAGGTCAAAACACACAGAGGCAGTGTCAACTCTGCATGGAGAAGCCATTCTGCAAATGGCAGCATAAGCTAGAAGAATCGGGAGTTGCGAGAAACAGAATGCCCAGAGTATTGTCAGGAAGGTTGTCTATTATTCTTTTGGAATAAAGATAGTAAGTGAAATGTCAACCCAGGTGCCAAACCTGGACCACAGCCAAGTGCCAAGACTTGGCATCAAGTGTGATGACAATCTGTGATGTCCATCAGAAGCAGGACAGAGAAAGCAGGGATATGAATATATATATACTTGTTATTCCAGTTGAAATTATTAAGTTTTGTCCTGGGGTAAAGCAAGGCCAGTGGAGAAACATACAGCTGGCCTGGAAGTTTCTCCTGCACTATACTTGGGTGTCACATCAATCGCCTCCACTGAGGGCAGGACTAATTATTCTCCCTACTGTAGGGACTCTGTGTTACCCTTTGCACTATCATGTTTATGAGCACTCTGTAGAATCTCCTGGAGTCTTAAATCACAATTAACCTTGCTTCTTGTGAGTAATGAGTGTGCTTTTTCTTTCCTCCTAGCCACTATAAATTGCTAATTGTGTGAGTTATCCTTTTGGTACTGACTGTGCAGAAGACCAGGGACAAGACTGGGACTTGCTACCAAATGAAGAGGCTCCCATCACATACTGGGACCTAATTTTATTTCTGACTTTATCCTACTTGTTTTTCCCCATACATTTCCTTCCTTATTTATTTTTCTGAATCCCATTATGTTATATGACTATTTAAAAGACACCTGAAAAATCTTTGGCAGAGGACAGGCACACAGTCTAGATCAATGGCAATCAAAATGTAAAACACACGGAGTCACAAACACCAGTGGAGGACAATTTCACAAACGCTATTATGGAGGTCATTAGAGGGAAGCTCCAACTGAGCGGTCTGAGGGTGGTGGGCCAGGTATATCCCTCAGCCAAACTGCCACGTCAGCAAACATCCTAGTCCTCCCCTCTTCTTCCCACTCTCTTGCTTACCGCCTGCATGCTCCACCCTTCCTTGGGTAGCTGGGCTCTCTCAGGTCCATCCCCAGGCACCCATACCTACCCTCTCTTAATATTCTGGGTTGCCCTCCCTTTCTTAAGTCCTCCACCAAATCAAAGGTCTCACACCTCTATAGGACCTTGTACTTGCCTGTAAGTTGTCAATGACCGATACAAAAAAAAGCCCTTCCTTTCTCAGGAACTAGTACATTTTAACAAGGAATTTTGAAGAGTTAAAAAAACACTGGAATAATTCACTAATGGTGAATACACTGTAAAAATGGTATAGATGCAAGTGAACGGGGCAATTTGCCTGTATATCTCAAGTAATCTATGTAAAGCTGTTAGCACAGTACCTGGCATACTGTCAATGCTCAGTACACAGAAGAATAATTATTACTACTGCTGCTATGACTATTAATCCCACCATCCCCTCCATTACCACTCAACCACTCTGCCTATTCCTACACTTCCAGCATGCATGTAACTGTCTTTTTCATAACACTGGCTAGAGATCCACAATCAATTAATGCTATGTTAATTACATTTTATGGTTTATAAAGCATTTTATAAATGTTGTTCTTTTTGATCTTCCTAGTAATCATCAAGCTAAATATTATTCCCATTTTGTAGCTGGGGAAACTGTAGCTCAGGGAGGTTGATTTGTAAGGTCCCAGAACCAGGCTCAAAGCCAGGTTTTACATAAATTTCTTGTTCTCCCCATAACAAGTTGCCAACCGCACAGTATCACATCAGAATTATGTGAGGGCTTTAAGATTCCTGGGGTCCACTTAACGAATGTGGATGACCCAGTGGAAGGACTATGAGTCTATATTTCAACAGGTGCCTCATGTGATTCTGATGAGCTGCTGGTCCATGGTGCTTCTGGCTGACTGTGTACCTGCTGGAGTCTCAGTACTGTGCAAGGTACCACGAGGAAGACACACGTGACCTTCTCAAAGAACTAACAAAGCAATGAGGAAGTACGACTAGCCAAGGTAAAAGAAGAGTGAATCACTGATGATACAGCTCAGTTCTGAAAGAGGTCAGAGTGAAGGAGATCACAGTTGTCAGGAGTAAGGCCACGTTACAGAGGAGAGAAGATTCTACAGGGCCTCACAAAATGGGAAGGATTTCTAAGTGGAGAAAGAATAATCAAAATGAGATGCCCTCAAGAGAAATGATGAACAGATTAGTCTGGCAAGAATAAAGGGACCGGTAGGAGGTGAGCAAGAGAACTGAGAAGCCAGAGAGAGGAGCCCAGGTTGGTGTGATGAATGGCAAGGAGAAAGGCAGGGATGGCTTCTGAGCACAGGAACATCCTAAAATATAAACTGAAGGACAACTGGTGTGGCAGTACCATGCAGAATGAAGGGAGGCCTGAAGGGTAAACACCTGGACTGGGAGGATCACCTAGGAACCTACTAGGTGTGCCAGATGGCAAACGGTAAGATGGGTTATAGGGTACTGACCACCAGAATGGGGAGAAGGGATGGGCTGGGAGACAGGAGTCTAACCTGAGACCTCTCTCTGTCTATGGGCTTCTAAATTTTACAAAGCTGTTTTCATATGACACAGAAACATGATGGCAGGTGGCAAAAGTGACTACAGTTTTCTTCTCCTCCCTGCAACCAGGTTCCTTGCATTGTGATTCTGCAGCAACTCTCATCAAAAGGAGAGCCTATAGCTACAGCTATTGAATCCACGCTAGACACAGAGCTTGCTTCAGCAAACAGAAAGCCTCAGAAGCACTGCGGTGCCTGTTCTGAACCTCAGCCTCAAGATATATGTGCCTGTCTCTCAACACCCTGCCCAATCACCAACATGAGCAAACTAAGAGTATCGTGAAGGGCGATGAGGCAGGTGGTTTAGCCATTTTCATCACTTCAGCTGGGTTTCAATGTGAATCCCAGAAACAAAGGCTGGCTGACCTGGACCTGACACAAGAGTTGCTAGCCGAAATCAGACAAATCACAACTGAGTCCATCCCAAATCAATAACCAGCCACAGAATTAGGAGATACATAAATGACTGCTATTTTGAGTAAGTAAATTTTGGGGTCGTTTGTTACGCAACAAAAACTAACTCATACACACCATAGTAGTACAGCTGTATTATCAGGAACTGATGCCCCAAGAAGCCCAAAAAAACTTCTCCACTTAAAAAGCACATTAATAGCCGGGCATGTTGGTGCATGCCTGTAATCACAGTGGCTCAGGAGGCTGATGCAGGAGGATTGCAAGTTCAAAGTCAGCCTCAGCAAAAGTGAGGCGGCTAAGCAACCCAGTAAGACCCTGTCTCTAAATAAAATACAAAATGAGGTTGGGGATGTGATTCAGGGGTCAAGTATCTTGAGTTCAATCCCTGGTATCCCTCCTCACCATTACTTTCCTAGCTCTAAAGGATGTTTTCTACCACTGTCAAACTTTTAACACAACAATCACATTTAGGTGAGATGACAGATGATTAAAAAAAAAAAAAAAAAAAAACCAATAGGAGTACAGCCCTAATATCTATCTTGGAGCTTGTGAGCCAATTTTCATTACAACACACTGCAAGGAACTGTCTGAATTCCTTGGCTAAAGAAACACTTTATTGTTTTGGATACTGCTTGAAATAAGCAGACCATCAACAGACGCCTGGAAATAGTTTCATTACCAAAAGAAAAAAAAAAAAAGTCTTTATTTTAATGGTATTTGGCATACTCATGAATCTCTTTCCTGCCCATGTTCTTAGCAAAAGAACATGGGTTGCTGTTTAAGGCAAGAAAACATTGTAAATCATTTGGGAAAGAAAAAAAAACGTGCAAATAAATAGACATCTAGTCATAGTACTGGTTGGGATCCTTCTAACTTAGAAGTGTGAATGTCATTTCAAAAATAATGTCATATGGTCATTTTGTTTTAATAATGAAAGAGAACTTACCAGTAAGAACTTGTGTGGTCCAACGTTTTCAGGTTTTTAACGGTAGGACGAATCTGAAATAGAATTAAACAAAACATTCCATAAGTCAGTCACACTTGGAAAGAGTGAGCTTTCAATCCCAAGTGACTGCCATGATTTTGAGTATTTATTCTTTTAGTTAAAGATTAACAAAGCTTTTTCTGGCTCCAAATGGAATAGGGAGTGTTTTTTCGCCTACGTATTTCAACTTCCTGAACAGAGAGCATTCTCTCATCTACTTCAGGGAGTGCTGTAAGTCTGAGGCCGTATAACTATAAATGGTAGTGTTTTCATCCAAACCCCTCCAAGTCAGTGAAATCCTTACTGCTGCTCTTGCCTTGGTCCCTCAGCTGCCTTCGGCTAAGACCAAGACATGGCTACCTCTGTGGAACCAATCAACCAACTACTGGTCCACACCAGACTTTCCAATGGTAGCCACTGATCATGTAAAAACACACAAGGTTGTGTCTTATTGGTTACAGTGAGCTTCAGGTAGTGCTGCTCAACAGAAATAATAATGCCAGCCACATATACAATACGAAATGTTCCAGCTGCCACATTAAATAAAAGAAACAGGTGAAATTAATTTTAATAACATATTTAACACAGCTTAATTTATCCAGAATATTATCATTTCAACATATAATCAGTATAAAAATTGAGATATTTTACATCTTTTTTTTCAATAAATTTTACTGTGTATATTTCAGGTTTAGAACGTTTCATGTGATATAGATAGTAAGATGGATAGTATTGTGAAGATGACTGACATATCTATTATCTCACATACTTTTTTTGTGACAAGAGTAGCAAAAAATCTTACTTAATAAAAGTCCCCAATACAATGGGATTTTGTCACCTGCAGTCCTCATGTTCTACATTACATCTCTAGACTTGCTCTTCCTGCATATCTGCTACCTTATGCATATCTGTTACATCTCCCCACATCCTCCCCTGCCTCTGTTTTGCATACCAAATCTTTAAGAACCAGTCCATCTCCACTGAGGCTGGCCACTCAGGCTAGTAGCTCCACACTAGACAGCATAGGTTTAGGGAATATGTTCTTGGCCTTCAGGTACTAGGCAAGGCTCCAAAGCAAGTCCAGCCCACATGGAGATTTTATTCACCTGTTTTCCTTCTCCTAGTAATCCATCATTACCCCATTTTATGGTGTCATTTTAATAAAAGTCATAAAGCAGTGACAGCAAATACTTATACAGCACTCCTACATGCCAGGGCCTGTTCTTGTTCCTGTTACCTCGGTTAATCCTCACAAAAACTTATGAAGTACATCATCATTCCCACTTTGTGCTAGGATACTGAGGCACACAGAGATTAAGTCCCTTACCCGAGGTTATAAGGTGGTGACAGAGTCTGCCTCTAGAGCATACTCATAGCCACTATGCACTCAATTAAATCTGAACAGCTCAAAATAAGATCATTACTTTCGGTTTTAATTATAACCATCAACTGATCCAAAGTCTGCTCTCATGATAACACGGTTAGATAATAGCATTGACAGTAGATGGAACAGGTATTGGCTGTGCTGGCAAATTAAATTAAAAACCAACCTGGAGTGGGAGCATGAAAACCACAGGTAGGCCTGGGGTCAGAAAGATTGTGATAGACGAGGGGGCCTGTTTGGATGACTAGGGTAGAAGGAGGGAGCGTAAGGTATGCTCTCTAGAAATACTTGTCTTTGTGGCCTGTCAGAGGGAAGGGCCTATACCTTTCATTAGACTCTCCAAGGGGTCTGAAAAATAGCAACCCTTGCATCAGTCTCAGCAGTTCAGACAGAAGAATCAAGTAGACAAGAATTAAGAAAACATATCCTGTGTGCTGGGCGCTGTGTCCCATGCTTATAGTTTCAGTGACTCAGAAGATTGAAACAGCAGGATTCCAAGTTCAAGGCCAGCCTGGGCAACTCAGAGAGATCTGTTTCAAAATAAAAAGGGCTGGGGTGTAGCTCAGTGTGTCCCTGGGTTCAATTCTCAGTACATAAAACAAAAAAAGCAAATATATCCTCTTTCACCTTATTAATCCACAGGCCTCCCTCAACCCCCAAAATCAAACTCAGTGAGCAAACTCAGATCCACACATGCACTCCATGCCTAAATCATACCGGCTGCAGAATCACAGGCCATGAGCTCAGCATGCTACAGAGTATTGCCACCCAGCTCATACAGTGAGCAATGAACCCGATGAAAACCCCTCCATGGCCTCTTCTGGGTTTATAGTCCAATCCAAGCTCCTCAACCTGTCTAAAAAAGTTCCCATGACCTCGTGCCTGCCCCACACTGAAGCGCTCCTCACGGGCATCTTAGCCACCTAGAATTATTAACAGGGTTCTAAATGCCCCCCACCCTCCTCTGTATCTTTGAGGATTCTGTTCTTTCTGTCAAATGTCCTTTCCCTATAGCATCAGCTTACCTTCATGCTTTGGTTCAAAAGTTACCACCCCTGGGAAGCCTTGTGAACTACCCAGCTGGCCTAGGGACAACTTTGTGGTAACAGATGCAAGTAGTATTCATTCAGTTCAGTTGACAGTTATGTGGTACTAGTGCTGATAACAATAAAAGCTGGTCTTTATGGAGCTATGTCTAAGCTTTACAAACTCCTTTAATCCTTTTAGAAATCCTATGAAGTAGATTTTATTGCTCCATTTAGCAGGTGAGCAAACTGAGGTACAAAAGTTAATTCAGTAGCCTACAGTCATAGGCTTGTAAGTGGCAGGGCCAGCTCATGAGCTCAGACAGTTTGGTTCAGAGCCTACACTCTTCATAGTTATTTTTCTTTTTTTTTTTTTTACTCTTCATAGTTATATTGTACTTGCCATCACCTAGGTTCCACAGCATCTATACTAATCGCCCTCATGCTTCCTGTTATTTCAAGTAATTCTTATGTTTCAGTTTTTCATGTACTGGTTTCTGGGCACTTGTTTATAGAATCCCTGATGGTTGAGAATCATTCTTTTAACTCATCTTTGTCTCTCCAAGACCTAGCAAAATGTTTAGTGTATAGTAGATGCTCAATAAAGGTGCACACAGGGAAACACTGGAACAGCACTGGAAGGATGGGAGACAGGGCTGCAAGCTGGGCTGAATAATTACATACCAGGATAAAGAGCCTCTGAATGTGAACTTTAACAAACAAGTTTTATTTTAACCTCATCTTTTAAATGCAGCCATTGCCAAGGAGATAATCACCCAGTAATGAAGGGAAAAGAAGTAACCCAAAGCTTGTCAGACTTGATCATGTCTTCACTGAGTTCATCAGCTCATTCTACTTTGCATGGGGATCTTAAGTAACAGCATGCCAATGGTTCTGGCTGGTCAGAGTGGAAGAATGCCAGAAAAGACACATGTTGAAAAATCTCCTTTGGCTGCCTGGACATGGCTTGGACATCTCTGCCCTAGCATTCTATGGTATGTTTCTTTCCATTACTTTCTAAATTCCTCTTAGATGACTATGAAAAGTGACCTTGTAGGAGGACACTCTTCTCTTTCTCTAAATAGTGGAAAAGACAAAAGTTTCAAGATCTGGGACAGATACAGACCTCGAGAGAGAGAAGAGCACCTTCTAGCTCACATCAGAGATTGTATACCAAAGCTGTGGCCAAGTCCACCTCTCACAGATACATGAAATCAGTCATAACATTCACCATTCCATGGCCTCCAGAATATAAGATACCCATACATCCAGACTATAAGATATCCATGCGCTAGTTTCTTGCGTACATGGATATCAGCATCATCTTGTCATTAACAATCAAATTCTAAATCTATAGTTTGACTTTAGCCAGCTCATCTCCTTCCCTGATGGTAATAAATAATAACATTAATTTGCTATTATTGAGAGCTTTACTGAATGCAAATAACGTGCTGTGCACAGTGTAGATGTTGGAGATACAACAGTGAATAAGGTTAAAAAATTGGTTTTCTTTTTGCTCAAGCAACTGGGTCAATGATGACTTCACTTGCTCAAGGAGAGAAACAGGTTGAGTGAGGAAGAAAATCTAGAACTCTGATTTGACCTGGTTAACTCTGAGACATCCAAGGGGAGATGACCAGGAAGCACTAAGAAGTCTAGAACTGTATTGTCCAATAGAGACTAGTACATATGGTTATTTAAATTTAAATTGAGTACAATTAAAAACTCACTTCCTCATTTACATGAGCCACATTTCAAGTGGTCAAGTAGCCACCGAAGAGGCTTCTGTGTGGAGTGACATAGGTTTTTTCCATCATTGTAAAAAGTTCTACTAACCAGGGCTTATCTATAACATACATGACAACTTTTTGGATTCCTTTATTACTACAAAGTTTACTGAACTATAAAATTGGAGCCCTGGAAGATCTTAGTTTACATGGCAATTGGATTCTGATTTGCCTGAATATATTTGTTTCAAATCTAACTTAAATTCTCAAGGACAATAGACACTGTGGGCAGAAGTGGCATGAACACTGGATCTACAGGCCTTGCTTCTAGCTTGTCTTCTCTACCAGGACAAGTAATTTAATTTATGTGTGCTTCCATTTCCCCACCAACAAAGTCAAGAGTGACCCTGAATGGACTCTGTGGAGATGGATGCTGGAGAATGTTTCCAACTCTGGAGATACCTCCACTGTCAGGTCTATTTGTTTTCACACGTAAATTCTGATATAATGTTATTTCAAATGGCAAAACAGATGTAAAAGGGGTTTTGATGCACATAAAGAACCCTACTGTAGTAATAAACGATATATGCTCCACCAAGGTGAGGTCAAGCTGGAAAAAAAAAAAAGAAAGAAAAAAAAAAGCCAACCTTATACTTAAGTCTATCAGAGAAATCTATTATTAGCTGTTGGCAAGTATAATGACTTTATAAAGCAATGCCATATGTATCAAAGAGACAAAAATTAAGTCCTGAGCTCCAAAGCTAAAAGACAGCAGGAAGCAAAATGCTGACATTTTGCCCTGTTGTGCAAAGGCTCTGTCCCAGGGACGGCACACCCGAGAGAGGGGGAACTGGCCTACTTTCACCAAGTGGAAACCA